TTTTTGTCATGTGAATGTAATTTAGGATTATCCATATCAATATTAAAGTCTCCAAGGAGTATCAGATGATAATTATTCGAGATCGCTTCTCTAATGAATCTAATAAGCTCAGTCTGAATGGGTTTCCTATGAGTAAGGTTTTCCGGTAGAAGGTAGCAGTTAATAACTCTTAGTTTTTGTTTGTTGTTGAATTGCAAATCGACAATAATGATACGGTTGTATTTGGATTCGTGATGAAATATATGATTTGCCAAATAAGGGCGAACTAATAAACCAACACCGAAACCAGTTTTTTGACTGTGTGAATCTGAAGGCAGTCCAAAGAAGCCTGTATACGTTGATGAGAATGCGCTATTAAAGGATCGGATCGAAGATTGAGAAAAATTAGTTTCTTGAAGACCAATAATATCTAATTTCAAAGAGGAATATAATTCAATTAGTGAGTTTTGCTTAGCAGCGTTAGTAAAAGAGCGAACGTTTTGTAATGCGAAAGAAATAAGTGGAGGGGGAGAAGGAAGGTCGTTATTTGTGTTAGGGTGTACATCTTGTGTAAAATTATCTGTAGAGACAGTAATCATTGGGAACAGATTTAAAAGGATGGTAATTCCTTGAGATAGTTTCTGATATCACTATCGAAAGCATCTCCAAGTGGAAATAGTGTATTGGCTAAGTCCTTGGGAAGCATATCATTCTGTATGAGAATGGACTGAAATGTAGCACATGATTTAACTAAGGTATTAACGGTAGTTGTGAAGGATTTCAATCTGTGCTGGTGCATTTCGTTGAGATTTCTAAGGCCTTCGATCGTCTTTCATTGTTGGATGATAATGGATGCTCATGTATCGACGGAGACTTCTACTTCTTCAAAGTCCATAATCTCAGGATCTGAGTTTTTAATATCTGCTTCGAGGGAGTGATGACTTTAATTTGAAGAGAATCTTCAACTGCTTTGACTCTCGTGATGGTGAAGTTTAAATTCTTCATCAATTCACACAAATTCTCGTTGAGGGTAGAAAATTATTGTCTGACAAAGGATTTAAAGTCCTCATCATTATTCGCATGCATTGAGCCTCCTTTCTTAATACTGTTATTGATGTCATTAGGAGAGGTATAAGTATCCGAATGTTGGTAAGACGTATTATATAGGTCTTCAGGAATATCATCAGACCACGATGATATTGGTAGTTCTGATGCACCATGTTTGTCAAGATTTTTTTGATGTCCAGGAGGGGGTCTATCAGCGTTTTTTTGTTGTTGATTCATTTTGTTTTTTCAGGTTCTGATGTCTTTGTCATGTGAGCGAAGGTGACATTTGGGCTCACTGCACCTTTGATGCCTTTTATAGGAGCTTTGTAGTTATTATACTGTGCGGGTTGAAATCGGTGGTATAGTTGTTGCGTATTGTGGTCAGAAGGTGACTTGCATTTTCTGGGACAATCGTTCACTTTATAGTTGGATGAGGAGCAGATAGCACATAGTTTAGCATTTGACTTTGTCCAAGTCACGTGTTTATTGTCAATTGTAAATTTATTATTGCTGATCGCAGCTTCAAAATATCAGCTGATTTGAAATAAAAAAAAGTGTGCTGGAGATTATGGTAATTCAATCTTGCTTTAGGAATAACCCAAGATAGAGCATTGACCATGTGTCCTATATCATTGAGTTGTTTACCATTAGTGAAACGAGGGAGACCAGCAAGTTTGGCTGAAAATTTCGACCTAGCAAGAATATCCCTACGAGATAAATCGCACATGTAGCATCTAACCATATTGTTAAGTACAAAAACCCCGTATTTGCCTTTTAATACGTTGAAATCTGTGTTGATGCTATAAGTAATTGTGGCTTGTTGCCAGAGGTTCTTGGTTTCCATAAAAAAACAGATGATCTTTCCGAATTTAGAGAAAATCGTCTTGATTCTGTGTTCAGTAGCATCAAGGGGTATCTTTGTAACCTTGATTGATTGCTTTGGGACATATGGATGTTGTGTTATGATCTCCAGAGGTGAGAACATGCGATTTTCCATACCAGGTAAATTAACTGTGCATGCATGATCTTGGTGATCTATGTTACAGAAGGAGATTTTGACAATGCGTTCTGATTGGTTCATAGGGTTCCTTGTAGCTACTGCGCCAGTGAACGAATCATAGGCGTCGAAGAGCAGGTCAACAACAAAGGAAACTTTTTGTTGAGATGACTTTCCAGGAATATCGTTGAGTGGGAAAGATGCGTGAAAAGTAGCCTTTGGTCAGTTAAAAGCTTGTGATGATTTGTTATCGTTATCAAGAATATTTTCAGAGAGGTCGTACGCTTCGTCGACGTTGAGTGTTGTTTGGAAGATATCTTCTTCTTTGTTTTTTCCTTTGTCAAGGGGTTTTGGGTCGACTTCCATAGTTTCTGGAGGTACGACAGTAGTTGAGCTACTTGGTGTTGGGATATTATCCTTGGTTTGGGTTGTATTTCTTTTTTTATTATTGTTGTTTTGTAGAGGAGACGCTGAGCGCTCTCTTTGTTGGTTTTTGTTCTGCTCTCTAGTATTTCTAGTATTTTTGGTCATTTTGGTGGAGAGAGAGAAAGTCCCTAATATGAATTTTATTATTGGATTATTAAAATTAATTATCACGTGAAATCAAATCTTTTTATTGGTAAATCAATGTTGATCATCATGTGAAATCTGTCCAATAAATCTATGCTCATAATAAACCTATAAGTTGTCACGTATCAGAGCTTCAGTTTTCTAAGTTCTCAAGCTGAAATAAAGTGGGTACGATTATGCAGAAGTTTTCGTGTCTGTTCCAGGCAATTGGCGGCGAGAACTTCCCTTGGTATACTTACCTTGGAGAAGCCATACTTCATGTCTGTTCCAGGCAATTGGCGGTGAAGTTATGAATCGCTTGGTGACTAGCAACTGTTCGTGTCTGTTCCAGGCAATTGGCGGCGGCAGTTAATCCTCTGACTTTGCTGAAGTTCCTCGTGTCTGTTCCAGGCAATTGGCGGCGAGCACTTCCCCTGGTATTTTTACCTTGGAGACGCCATACTTCATGTCTGTTCCAGGCAATTGGCGGTGAAGTTATGAGTCGGTAGATATTCAAGTCATTTCTTGATGGTCATCAGCCCTTTATCAGCTAAATCTCGCACTTTTGTCAAGAAAAATTCTCATACATAATTGGATAATAGTGTACGTACACTATTATAATGGAATAATTGATGCTATCAAAAGAGAAGTTATTTCTTCGCTCTCTTACGTTTCAGGAAAATATCTATAGTTAATTTATTTCTATCATTATTATTACTATCTACAAGTTTCTCACATTCTAATAATCTATCCCACTTATACATACACCTATCTATAACGATTATAATGGAATAATTGAAATTTATGATGCTATCAAAAGAGAAGTTATTTCTTCGCTCTCTTACGTTTCAGGAAAATATCTATAGTTAATTTATTTCTATC